TCAGGGAACAGAGTGAGACTCTTTCTCAAAATAAATATATAAATAAAGTAAAAAAAAAAAAAAAAAAAAAAAAGTTTTTTTTTTTTTTTTGGCCAGGTTACCTGTTACCTGGCTCTGGACAGAAGCAGTGTGCCCATCTGGTGCAGGGGATGAAGCCCAGGCTCTGGTACCAGGGGTTAGCCCTCCTCTGCTCACTTACCAGCTGTGGGGCCATGGGCATGTCCCTCATTCCCTCAGCCTGCTTCCTTTCACCTATGGATGGGACCTGTGGCTCTGTCTCTCCGGCTTAGGGCTTAGCAGGACTCTTCTCCTGGCCACCAAGGAGAGGATGTTTGTACTCAGGTTAATGTGAAGCCGTTTTTGTCTAAAGATCAGCTCCTTAAAAGGTAGGGGCCCTATTTATACCACGAGTTGGGTTTTGGGGATGACGTAACAAGCATCGACCATAATGGCAAGTGTGTGGGGCCAGCTGGGAGCAGGGTTAGTCACCGAGCGAGGTGGCCATCCTGAGCACCAGCTCCTCTTGTATGGAGGGTATTTCTTGTCCACACCTATGGCAGAGATCTGCTTGCGGAGAGAAAGGCAGGATGGATGTAGCTGGAGTTCTCAGGAAGAGGTACAACATGATATATTGTGTGTGTGTCAGGCGCCGGCTCAGACGACCTATGGCAAACATCCGGCAAATCCAAACACCGGGCAGGAACATTCCTTGGGGACACTCAGCCACAGCCTCACAGAACCAGTTTTATAGCTGTTCACTTCTTAATCACTTAGAGCGGTAAACCCCCCAGTTTACAAGCTGTTTACTTTCCTTGAAAATGAATTACCCCTTAACAAATCAAAATGTCAAGATGGCTTTTCCCGAGGTGCCTATTTATCAGGGCCAAGAACAGAGGGCCAGCCAGTGTCGTAACAGAGTGGGGATTACACCTTGTACGCTCCCGATAACAACCCTGGCTGGAATGGATCAACGACACGGCTGTTGCCAAGGTGGTCACATGCCCCTTCTAAGAAGACATGTGTTTTCTCTTGCTCTCTTTAAAGCCCTGGTTTGTTATCAAAAGTCATCTGCAGTGGGACGTGTGGGGTAGCAGATGAGAAGCCGGCACTACAGTCAGGATGCTTCACTTCTTTCATTTTGGGAATGGGCTGGGATCAAGTCATAGATTGGCAGTAAAATCTGCATGTACTGAGCTGAACATAAAAACAAAAATCACCAGCCCCTGATCCCACCCATTTGCAGGGTCTAGCTGAGCAGAGGTAACTGAACACATCTCTTCCTCACCTGCTGCTACTAAAAATCCCACCTCCCGCCTTTCCACTCTCTCTCCCTTTCCCAGTGGCAATGAGACCAGAAAGGAAAAGAGAAAAACAAGTGAGTTTTTTTCTTTTTTTTTTGTTTTTGCTGGATGCCCGAGGCCCCCCACCTGCAGTTTCAAGGGGCTTTTCCCCAAATCTAGGTGGCGGCACATCAGAGAATCAGGAGAGTGCTGGTGAGAATTTAGGATGAACACCCATGGCCGGAGCGCCCTGTCCTCTGGTTCCTGCTTCATCTCAGCCAGGCAGTCCTTGATGAACTAGCTTTGGCGGAGTTGCCAGAGGCTTTTGGTGCATGAATCAAACACACACGGGCTGCCAGGTACATGCAAACACACAGACGAGCCAAAGATTGTGGTACAGGGATGCAGGCAAACAGGCCTCCCTGAGATCCTCTCTAGATAACACTCTTGGCGCTCCCTGGGTATGTTTCAAGAACATCCTGCAAAACGTATATATGAGACTGTACGGCCGTTCACACCATCTGACCAATTCCACACCTGCAGACAACACTGGGTAGATCCACATACCAAACTACAAGGACATTCAACCTACTGGTGTGCAGAACAGAGAACAGAAGACGGCTGATATGTCCAAGAACTGGGGCAAGGCTAAGTGAATTCTAATCTATTCAGATGATGAAATTCCCTGCTGCCAACCAAGATGCTGATAAGAGATGATTAAGCATCAGGGGAAATGCTCAAGATGGAGTCAATGAAAAGGGTTAGAAAAAGCATGTCCCATATGTTTCTGCTCTTGTAAAAAAATGCATGCTCTCTTGTCCATGGCAGAGAAAGCAGACTAGAGGGATTGAAGCCGACGCAGTGAGAGAACCAGGTAGTTGTACTGCAGTGAGTTTTATTGTTATTTTTTGTGCTTGTCTGAATTTTCCAAGACTCCTATTATAAACCTGATTTTAAACCAAAAAGAAAAAAAGGGAGGATGATGGAAGGAACATAAGCTGCCTGGGAGCTGGACGGACTCAAGCTCCCGATCTTAACATCCTCCTGAGATCTGTTCTGCCCTCTGAGGCTCTGTCCCCTGGACTCACCAAGAGGAGGGCCAGGAAGGCCACTCCAACAGTTGGGGGACCTATGCCCACGATGAGACACAACCCCTGCATCCCAGGAGCGCCCAGTTTCATGTGGGGCAGCCCAGGGTCTTCCTGTTGCCCTCTGGCTGTGTATAGCCAGTTATTTTGGGAAGATGAACTAATGAATAACGCTCTGGCATTTGTCAAGCCCAAAAATACCACAAAAAGGTCAGTCTTCTATTTTTAGGCCCACTGATAGAAGGAGCACTGGGCTTGGAGTCAGAACCCCAGGTTTGCATCCAAGCTCTGCCCAAACTGACTTTGAGACGTTGGACACGCCCCCCTCCTCCTCTTCTCTGGGTCTTTAAGCTTTCCCCACTAAGAATCACTTTACCATGTGATTCAAGATTCAGAGCGGGCCAGCAGTGGCCTAGGGTTGCGCATAAGCTTTGCTTTGCTTATTTACGTGATGTGCGTGCTTGCTGGAGGTATCACCATTGACACGTTGGGAGATTTTATGCACAGACCAGGATTTCTGGTTTCTTAAAAGATGAAAAGATCTGGCTTTACGGGGTCCCATTCC